AGACAGATAGACAGATAGACAGATAGACAGATAGATAGATAGATAGATAGATAGATAGATAGATAGATAGATAGATAGATAGATAGATAGATAGATAGATAGATAGATAGATAGATAGATAGATAGATAGATAGATAGATAGATAGATAGATAGATTGAGAAATTTGAGACATCCAGTAGTATTTTATATTGTGTACCTGTATGCAGAAAAAATACATATGAATAATGAAAAAGAAGCAAAATACACAAATCTGAAAAAATACAAAAATGCACATACACATAGTGATAGGGAGTACTACATTCATGATGAATTTATGTGTATGTACAGTATACATACAGTACATGCACATCTAAGCATATTCATTTATATACCAATACATATGTATATGTACATGTATATACATAAACAATTTAGCAATTCATGAGATAATACATTTATATGTTGGCTTTGACAAATGTCAGAATTTTCTGATCATTTTGTGTAATACTATACTCATAATTGTTTAATTAGAAGGCAACTGGACTTATTTTTTTTTAGATCTTTAAGGTGTTTCCCCTCTCATTCAGACCTCCTCTGTCTGACTTCTCATTGGTTAAAGTAGCTTTACGTCAATCACCAGTAATCACTTTTTGTACAGTATTACGCCATATGAACAAATTCTAGGTAGTTTACTCATACTTTTTACTTTGGTAACCAGGTGCAGTAAAATATCTGGAGTGCTCAGCTCTGACGCAGCGCGGCCTTAAGACAGTGTTTGACGAAGCCATCAGGGAAGCCCTGTACCCCAAACCCACTAAAAAGGTGCACAAGAAGTGCACCATCTTGTAATGAAGGTCTACAGGGACCAAAAAACCTGGACAGTCAGAACTCAGCCCTGAAGAGCTGGAATGATTATAACAGGGGTTCCTACAAGTACATTTTAATTCTGTGTTCTTGCTAAAAAGTGATGTGTAGAGCTGACTTTTATCTGAGAGCAAAGCTCACTTACTTCTGGTTGGTGTCTTCAGATTGACTTGAAAGATATGATTCTACAAAGTCCTTGAGAAATGTGAAGCTAGGGTTTAGGATGTAGTATTAACACATACAAAATATGATGCCGTCATGAAAAAGGGTTTATTCTTTTACATTGTTGGGAGCTGAGACAGTATAAATCTTGAAGTGCAGTGAGCAAAATGTATAGCTCTCACTACAAAATATTTCCTCGCACTTTATTACTAAGTTTTCTAAACATAACCAATGGTCTTCATTCGCTTTCTGTCATGTGAACGCAACTGTACTGTACTCATTGTTGTAAACATGGCACAAACAATGAGTTGTGTTTGGTTGATTATTTTTTGTGTAATAGTGCTCCTTGGCTAAAAATACTTTACCATTGAAAAGCCTGTGTAGTTCCACTTAAATTGGGCCACTTTTGTTATAAAAATGTATATGTGGGTTGCACCTACGAAAATCTGGCCAAGTCTTTTCTGCAGTGCCTAACGGCTTTTTCTGGTATCCCAGGTTCTGATAATCAGGTTCCTGATTGTCAGCACCTGTAGGCAACCAGTGGCAATCCCATACCTCTGTCTGGGATTGAACTCTATCCTTCAAGATGACAAACCTTACCCTATAGGTTTATCAGACTACCTCAAAAAATCAGGGGTGGAGGACTTGAAATGACCTGCCTTCAGTCCTGACCTCAACCCCACTGAGCACCTGTAGGGATCAGCTTCCATGTGCCGTTTGTTCCAGTGGGATTAATGTAACTACTTGACTGACTTGTGACAAATGCTGGTTGAAGAATGGTATACCATCCCACAGCAGTTTGTGACCCAAATGGTAAGCATCAGCAGCAGGAGGTGCCAGGCTGTTTATGGTTCTTCCACATGCTACTGACCCTTGTTTGTTGATTTATTGTTGAATTGCCAATACGTTTTGTTTCTACAGTCGTCCAATCCATGAAGCAACACCAAACATGAGTCAGTTGCAGAATAAGCTGTTTGGCATTAGTAGAGAAGATTCTGCAAGTTTTTCTTGGGCACAGCCGACAAACTCAACTCTGCTTCTCGATCCATAAATGCATTTTCCAAACAAATATAGTACCATTTAAAGGGAACCACACAGGTTCTCCATTGAGTTCAAATTTATTGCCAAGAAATATTGTTACAGCAAATGATCAACCACAGTTTTTCTTTACTTTGTGTGCAATATTTATGCAATGATATACCTGGATTATCTCTAAATTCTTGCACAGTGCTCATCTTTTAATGAAGGCATGACAACATTTAGTTTTAAACCAGTTTTCCTACATTTTGTGGAGCCATCATAAAACCACATGAAGGATGAAACTCATTTGAATGTATTTTATGTGCAATATAATCATAAACTGTTTTCCTTAATGCATGTTTTAATTTGAAACGAGCAATGATCAATTATTGTCTCTGAGAAGTCAAACACTGAACTAAATCAGTTTAGTGATTAAACATGTTTATTCTTGCACAGTATTGTAATGCTTTCAAAGCAAATAAAATCACTTAAAAGTTCCATTTTAATATATATGCTGAATTTATGAAACGCATACAAGTTTACATATAAACGTTGTTATTGTAACGTAAGTTACATTGTTATGATCGTCTGTTGTCATCACTCTTTGTTAAAATCAGGTCTCTTTTGTAAATGAGTCCCCGCGGCTCAATGGGATTAACCTGTATAAATAAAGGTTGAATGAATAAGATTGTGTTTTTATGAAAAACTGATCCGTCAACTCATCTACCGAGCACTTTACATTAACTAAGTGACCCGTTAAGACATTACTGGCAAGTTTTTAAGATTTTGTGATAGTTCCCATGTCATTTCAGTCTTGATCATCTTGTGCGAGTTTGAATCAAAAAGATCAAAAAATAAAAAAAGAAGACAGAAGAATCAACATTTTTGGGCTGTCCATCGATCAAATACCAGCTTAGCAGACACTGCATCTTCAACTCCCATTCCTGTGAATAGACAAAGTTAAAATGCATTTAAGCATTTAAAATAAATAAAAATGAAGTGACACCTCCGTCAGATAAGTCCTACCGAGGGATTTGAACACGGTTGTCTTCGCTCTGTGAGCAGCTTTTGTTCCGTTGATAACCTCCCCGAGCTCTGCAAACACCTCGGCCTGAAAACCAGAGATAAGCAATTCAATCTTAAGGGGTTTGTGTGAGAAGTCACGGAACATGCAGATCAGTCTACGAACCCCAGAAAGGATGACATCACCAGACTCGGTCATTGCCCCCTCCCTGCTGTCCACGTACACCACAGCATCCTTCATCAACGCATCATCCAGTTCCCGCCAGTCCGGCCTGCATGCTCCCACTGCTGCTCCGCAAAAACAAGAACAATGCAGCGAAACTATTATTTCATATTTAAAGCAACATAAAAAAAACAAACACATGAACGTAGAGTCCATGAACTAGTCTTTTAGCTCTACATTCAAAAATTCAACATAATTAATTTCTCACCTGCCACATGAGCTGCTGGTTTGACCCACTGACCAAAGACCACCGGCTCCGTTGACCCAGTTGCAGTCACTATAACATCTGCTCCCCTCACCGCCTCCTCCACCGAGCTGCAGCCCCTCACAGGGCCTCCGACTGAGCGGGCAAATCTTTCCACGCCCCGTTTAGTTCGGCTCCAAACTCGAACCTAAGACAAAGCAACCAAGACTACCAAAAGATCATGAAGGAACCGGTGGGAAAGTGGAGATGTTGGGATTGAAGTAAACGTTTTAAGGCACGGATGGGCAATATACGGCCCGAGGGCCAAACATGGTCCTTGAATAACCATCCGGTCCCCAATATCCCTAAATAAAAAGAAATCCCCTTTAACATAATTTGATGAAAAACTGCTTTTTATTCATGAAACTTAAGGAAATGTAAATTAAACATCTTGGACAAAAGCATTTAAAACTTTTCAATTAAGATGGGCCAAAACATTTTATGCTGGTGAGTTATTGTGTTTCCAGAACTAGGCTGTACATTAAAAACTCCAAAGCAAAGATAAGTTTTTCTTTTTTTTGCATATTTTTAGCTAACAAATAGGTTGCACAGGAGCCAGTTTACAGAAAGCACGTCTAATAACTTATATTCCTGTACAGGGTACTGGGAAAACATATCTTTACTAAGCATGCTAACTATGCTACAACAAGAAAATGCCTGGAGATGTCATCTATATCTGTCTTAAAAAATGTTTTCCAGTTCGCTATGTAACACTTTGATGACTTTAAATTACTTGATTTGGCCTTCTGGAAACAAAAAGGTTGAGGCAACATGAGCAGGATTGCACTGCAGGTGTCGTCACAGGGAAACCTTGAATCTAAAATCTTTTGGAGACAAGATTTCAGAACAAAGTTTAAACTGAGCCAATGTGCAATTGTTCAAGTTCAAGTAGGTTTACTGTCATTCTCATCACATGAAGTACATGAGGTGGAACGAAAGGAAACAGTAAATAAGGATCTAAGATATACGCTAAATGCTAATAATGCAAAACAACATGGCGTAACAACAGCAGCCTGGATTGTAAAATAGTGAGTAGCTTTGATGAGAGTAATGCATTGCAAACTATAAAACCAAACGGTAAAACGGTTTAGTGATGTAGCAGGATTTGTCCCTCTCGCTGGTGTTTGTTGTTTCTATAACAAGTGAGTTTTAGACGTGTACCTCTTTAAATGGAAACATTTCAGTGAAGACGTTATAATGACTCAGAGCCTGTTTGCCGGTCCCCAGGATGGACAGAACCTCAGCTCCTGGACTCATCAGCAGCTGGATGGAAAACAAGGATGTGTAAAAAACAACAACAACAAAAAAAGAAAACCACAGAGACTGAATGAATCTTTAAGAGAAATGTCCTTATCTGCAAGATAGTGGTGTGAGAACTGAAAGACTGTTGAAATTAGCTAAAGAAGCTGAAAATTAGCCTGCAAGGCTATAAAAGGCTGTTTAAAGAAGAAAAATTAGCCTAAAACAATCTAAAACCTAAAATAACAAAATGGTAGCAAAAACTTAACATTGAAAAAATACCAGCTAAAAAGAGCAAAAGATTATCCAAAAGCTAAAGTAGCAAACGGCTAATTAAAAGCTAAAAATAGCAAAGAAACATTCCAAAAGTAGCAAAAGGTTTGCTAGAAGCTAAAGTAACCAAAGTATGATCAGAATAAATAAATGTATCACCATAATAGCTAGAAGGTAAAAGAAGAACAAGGCTAGCTAAATGAAGCAAAAAGCTTGATAGAAGCTAAAAGTTGCATAAAAGCAGCTTAAAATATGAACAGGACATAGAAGGTAAAAGTAGAAACGTAAAGGCTAGAAGCTAAAAGGAGGCAAAGAACAGCTAAAATATCACCAGAAAAACTAAATGCATCATCATAATAGCTAGAAGGTAAAAGTAGCAAAAGACTGGCTCAAAGGAGCAAAAAGCTTGATAAAAGCTAAAAGTTGCCCAACTCCAGCATCAAATAGCTAGCTAAAAACTGAAAGAAGCATTTAGAGGCCAAACTGGAGCAGATTTTCTGAAGCCAGTTTCAATTAGATCGTTTGAAAGGACTGAGAAAATCTAAACAGTTAAATGATTAGGAAAAAAATACACAAGCTAAAAACACCAAGCCACAGCACCCATCTGTCTCCTGAACGAGCGGAACATTCTGGTATACAGCTAAGTTAAACAAAGTGTGTGGATGTAGATAGATTGCAAACACACACAGAAAATGACAGAAACAAGAAAGCGCTCCTAACAGAAGGCGTGCCTTAGCAGAGATGGCTGAGACTGCAGCAGTTCTCATGGCTGTGATGACCTCTCCGTCCATGACCTGCAGGTTGGAAACCAATCATGACTGGTCCGAGAGCCAAGGTGTTGCAGCAGAACCTCCCTCTGAGGTGTTTCACTCACAGCCTTGACGTTCCCACACTTTGGGTCCAGCAACACCACCGTGGCCTGAACAGATGGTAAACTGGAACCTTCCTCTCGATTGTAGAAACACACAATCTTGGTGGACAAGACTCCGTCTCTCTCCATGTATGTAGGCATCAACCCCATGAACCTGAAAGGTGAGTGCCAATAGATAGATACTTTATTAATCCCAGGGGGATAATTCGAGGCATCCGGTAGCATGTTCCAATTGTACAGAAAAAAAGACATGAATAACCAGAAAATAAGCAGAATACACAAATTTGAAAAAGACACAAGACAAATATGCACATGCACACACAGTACACTGCATACATACATATGCACAATAAGTCAGAGTCAGAGTCAGAGTTTCTTTATTGTCATTCGCACCTCATGTGGTACATGTGGTGGAGCGAAATTATGTACACAGGGTCCCAGTTACATCCAACAATAAAATGTATAAGAAAAACAGTAATAACATCTAAGATATGAACTAAGAAAAACATCAACTAAATATACACTAAGCACTCATAACATAAAACATTGAACATCACCACAAACATGAACATGAGTCTGTGAGCAGATGTGCACGCATGAACACATCAACATTGAAACAGATCAGCAGCAACATGAAACAGATCAGCAGCAACATGATATGGTTTTTCACAGTGATTATTCTAGTTAGAGGCTATAATTAGAGGCAATAATTAGTCTAATAAAGGTTTAAAATCTCAAAAACATTAAAATATTAGTGAGATTTAATGAAGCACTAATACCTGATTTTTATTAACATTTTTTAACTCAGAGTTGAACCACGCATTTGGACGTGCACGTCCTCTAGTATCCACCAGGGGGCGCTGTGAGCATGGAGCAGAAACCTACCCGTTGTGTTTCTGCAGCGGCACCGCTGTGCGAACGGGTTGGACCACCTCCGAACTGTCCCGCCTGGAAAACTTCCCCAAAGCGTCCTCCAGACGGGGGACCAGGTCTCTGTAGAGCAGCAGACGTCCAACGTCCTGCTCCCATATGATGACAGGAGGTTCGGCCATGGCTGGATCTGAGACTGCAAAAAAAAAAAGAGTAGCAGAATAAAACAAAAGCGCCTGTTTTGGTGCTGAAAAAGTCACGTGATGCGCAAAAAAACAAAACTGTTTCCTTGTTGGAATGAATCGCTTGACTGGCTCGCGCCGCGGTCCAATCAGCTGATTCCTTGACACCGTCTCGTCTCGATTCTGACAGGTAGCCGCGCGCAATCAGAAGTGCGCATGCGCATTGTGTATGGCGCGTAAAGGCGCGTTTTGGTGTTGGAGGCACGTGATTGGACAACATAACAAGGCATTCCTGATGTCCCATGAACTGGCGCTCCAGTTCAATCTTTTTGGCCATTATGGGAAACGCAAGTTCCAGGACCTGCGTCTCTTTGGTTGTTTATGGTAAATATCAGTTTTCAGAGTAACTTTTCTTTCTTACACATTGGTTAAGTTGTTTTTTTTAAGTTGTTAATGTGTTTTGTTTGTTATTTTCAGTACTCTTGAAGAGAACAGTTTACAGGTTTTTTTTTTTTATGTATTCACATAATATTGTTTCACTGTTTTATGTCATGGAATTAAAAGTTTTTTGGTAAATAGCACAATTTGAAGGGAGTATTATTTGTATTTCAAACAGTCCCTGCCTGTCAAACTGTTGCTTTAACAAAATAACTACAAACCCATGATAGAACTGTTGCTATGTATAACAGCATCTAGAACAACTCTAATGAAACCAGGATGATGAGTTACAACAACATATAATTTCCTTTGTGGATTAATTAAGTATTTTTAACTGAACTGAATTGTTGATTTTATATAGATGTACATGTTCTATTTACTATAACTATAAACTATATAGTATCTGTACATAATAATGGCGAGTGCTTTTGACTATAGCAGATCTCTGCAGACATTTTTGCCCTATGACGGGATAGATGCAAATCTCATGAATGTCAGATTGTTAAAAAATAAAGCACTAATAAAATTTCTACCTATGCTTGTCATTTAGGAGTATTTAAAAGAAATGGATGCATCCAGGGTATCACAGAAAGATGCAGAAATGGCCCTCTCCAAGTGGTTTACTGGAGCTCGTGATGGAGGTGGAAATAGGAAAGCCGGAGCAAATGGGGGGGACTGACCATTTAAATCAAGGCGGGCACTGGGCAGCTCTTTCAAGATGGACATATATATATATATATATATATATATATATATATATATATATATATAAACTAGTCCCTTGCTACTTCGCGGTTCGTTTTTCACGGATTCGTTATATCACGGTTTTTCAAAGTAAGATTGGACGTGACACAATTTGCTGATCGATGGATGAGCCATGTGTTTTTTATTTGAAATAAATTATTTTAAATGATTTTGCACCATGTGTGCAGCCCACAAGTGAAGGGGAAGTTCCCTCCTGCAGCTGATCAGCTGATCTCCTTCTCTGCAAGCATATATTTCTCCTGCTACAGCTTTATGAAGGGTTAACCCTTTGCTGTCCATATGCACCGATCGACTTTTGTTTTCCAACTTCAAATTCAAAGTATGTCACATCGTATTAATCGTCCTCATCACAAAATATAAGTGTTAAAATTTGTTTTTAATTATTTTAGAACTTCTTTATTCAGTTGTTTCAATGTAATTGATCAAAAAGTACATTTCTGCTCCGTGCTGCAGAGCTGAAGCTGCGTGACATCATTTGATGTCCAGCTGCACTTCTCTCCTCTACAATTTAAATACTGTAACATTTTAAATGAACAATCCATGCTGCATGAATTGTTCATTTAAAATGTTACAGTATTGAAATGTAAATAGTTTATTTAAGGAGGGAGATTGAGAGCAACAGGTGATGAGTGTGTTTGCAGCCTGGTACATGTCATGACAAAGTTTATTGAACTTGAACTGAACTTGAACTACTGTATCTCTACTTCGTGGTTTTTCACTTATTGCTGGTGGGTGTGGACCCAACACTCGCAATAAACAAGGGATTACTGTATATATAAAACTAACTAACATACCGGTGTATATATATATATATGTATATGTTTTGTTGTAAATACTAAATTCAGTTATTTTCAGAAATGCTGTCTTGATGAAAATGGGAATCATATTTTGTAAATGTTGACTAACACTGTGCAAATCATTAAATTTTCTTGGTTTAAAAGAGCATTTCTTGTAGTTTGTCGTAGGCATGTTTTATGTTTGAGTTTTCTGTTAAAGAAGTTCTATTCACATAAAAAAAGTTTACTCAGAGGTTAAAAGTATTTACTGCCAATAATTCACATTAGCCTTTAAAGAACCTTGACCAAAAGACATTTTTCATGTTATTTATTTCACTTCATATTGCTGCTTAGTTGAGGAAGACCCCATTAATTGCTCCTACAGGACTAAGGCGTTACCTTCTGGGTCCCACCGAAACTCAGTCAGGACCCGTTAAAATCCATCTAACCCATGTGGGGCCACCATGGAAACTGCAGACAAAACCTTTTGGGGCCCATATTTTTTTGCCCATATGGGGCCCACCTATGCATGCTGGCTGGGAACAAGTGCAGGAGCAGTTCAGTCAACCAGTGAAGAAGCTCGTTCAGAGGTTGACACACGCTGGAACCCCTTCCTCGTGCTGCCTGTTCCAAGAAAGAGTCAGTGGGGGCTGCTATGGCAGCACTCAAAACAGATGTGAAACCTCTGTCCTCCGAGGACTATGAAACAGCTGCATGTCTGCAGATGCTTCGCCCCTTTTATCAGTCGACAGTGGAACTTTCAGAGAATAGTGTTGGGGTCAAAGGTTATCCCAATGACCAAAATGCTTATGATGTACTTGTTTAAAAGTGGAAAAATAACCCACAGCACAGCTAAGCAATTCGGGCAGAACTTAATAACAGCTGTGCAAAATAAGTGAAACATCTGAGAACCAAACATTGATCATTTCTACTCTTTGATCCTAGATTTAAAACTATTGACCATCAAGCACAAGCTGCTGTGAAATGACAGCACTGAGCTCACAATAAGACGCACCAGCTGATACACCCATGGAAGAAGAGCCCTCCACATCTGCACAACCAGCACCAGCTAATACATCTTTCTTTCACAGGTAATGGTTTGTATAATATAATGCAACAAGACTTGGCCCAGCACTTTCTCAACCATTTTTAAACTGACACAAATTTCAATGTGTCATTAATGAAGCTGCCATGTTTTTATTTTCAAATATCAACCTCTGGGAAACTTTGGACAGAGATGTGTCTGTAGCAAGAAGGGCAAGGAATGTCACATGCAGTGGACGTGCAACGCTGCAGGACAGATGCACCGCTGGACACCCACTGGCTGAACCATCAAAATGTGTCTGTTTAAAGTGCTGTTGTGCATGCCAGCATCATCTTTCCCTTGCGAGCAAGTATTTTCCAAGAGTGGAGAGGTTGTGAACAAAAAAAGAAACTGGCTAAGTCCTAAACTGGTAAAACTGATGTTCCGCAATAAATGTCTGATGGTTCCCAACCTTTGCACTGGTTTCTATAGGGACTCTGGATTTCTCAGAATGTAATTATTTCCAACGATAGACTCCGACTCTGTCCAAGCATACCAATATTGAGCCAAATTGGTTTAGACAATGTACACTCATTTGAAAGTAGAATGTGTAAACCTCATTAACCTTTAAAACCAAATATTCCAAGTGAGATCAAATAAAGTTGTTACATAACTGAAACTGTTTTCTACACTAAAGTAGCCCAACACTGTTAAAAGTTCTTGGGTGTGTGCAATAAAAGCAGATTGCCTGATTTGACTGCAGCGTAGCCAGGAAATAACTGAAGCTTCAAACGAACCAAACTTTGAAACATTTGTCTCAAATGGGCAGAGCTGTTGCCTCTCAGCTACGTCACCAGTTCAGATTCCAATCCAGGACTTTTCTTGGTTTGCACGTTCTCTCTGTGCATGAGATTTCCTCCCGTGCCCTCCCACTGACCCAAAACATGCATGTTAGGCTAATTGGTAACTAAAATTGTCCCTAGGTGTGAGTGAATGCTCGTTTGTGATGGACTGGAGACATGTCCAGTGTGTCCTCTGCCTCACACTTACAATTTAAAGTTACAAATCAGCCTAACGTGCATGTTTTTAGTCTGTGGAGATAAAATAATTTGAGGAAAATCAAAATGGCAACAAAGAACTTAAAAGCAGCTTTGGGATATCCACCATGCATGCAGACTTAACCCTGAAATTTTGTTTAAATTAAATTAGACATGTTGACTTTAAATACTGATGGGAAATATATCTCTACATAATGCATCTCCCAGAGAAAATATGGTTTTTGCAAAGTACAAATACAAATTTGAGCAAAACTGCACACAATAAAAATATAAGTCCTAAAAAAATGTCTTTATTAAGAAACGGGTGATGGCTCTTCAACATGACAAATCTGAAATCAATATCTTCAAAAAAACAGACAAAAATATTAATTTGTTTTGCGATTTTTTTTTAAACCAAAACAAAACAATGTTCAAATTTATCCATCTATCCTTTTGAGCTTTTCTTAAAACAGTGCTTAAGAAAATTCACACCAGCAGTCTCTCGATGGCCATTTGAACAGACTGAATCTGTGGTTTGAGCTGAGATCCCTCCTTTATGGTGACTGAGGTAGCGATGACGGGACGCGACACCCCACAGGCCCGGCCCAGCGCCTGCTTGGAGCGGACGAACACATACGGGACGTTCTTGTCCTCACAGAGCAGTGGAAGGTGGAGGATGATCTCCAGTGGTTCAGCATCAGCAGCCATGACAATAAACTCAGCGATGCCTCTGTTTAGGGTCTTGGTGGCTGAGGAAAGAGTACATGGACAATACTTCAGGTAAAAACTGGTTTTATAAAAATGATGAAGAAAAAAACAAAAGGATTGTGGCAACTGTGTAAAGAAATCTTTTACGGATGCATTACAAGTATTACCAATAACTGCAGTAGAAAAAGATCTGGTGCTGGCTTTCATTGATTGAAGGCTAATTAGAAGGTGAAAAATGTCTGTGCTGTTTTATTGATTGATGCCATTTTACTTAAAGCTTCTTTATATTATGGATAAAATCAGACAAAACTACCACGTAATCCCCGAACACTATGAACCTGTGCCCACCAATGTTGCACATTTTGATATGACTTATGTAATATATGCAGCAACTTTTTCCTTTTATTGTAATGTTAACTTACTTTTTATGTGTATGACTGTTTCTGTACAGCGCCGAGACTAATGCTGCGACTTGGCGCTATACAGATAAAGTGAATTAAATGTTCCTCACCTTCATTGGCTCCCTTCCTCAGCTGTTTGTAGTTCGATGCTTGCTGCACCAGGTCCAGGATGGTTTTGGTCAGAGTGGCGTCGGCCAAGGGGTATGCCTTCGGGTTCACTTGAGGTTCAGCCTGGTCATAGTCACACAAAAACATCACTTTAAATAAGACACAAGAAAGCCAAACGCAAAACAAATAAAGGTACATTCATTTAAACGCATGCTTAGCTTGCTGTAGTCTCCCATGTTAGCTAGCACTTAGCTGATCTGTTAGCTTGTTAATTCAATAAAACTCACCATTGCTGATTTTTATTGTTTCTGGTATTCCGGCCCTCTCGGCGAAATGCTTCACGGAGGACTATTTAGTTTATCCCCTGACTTGGAAAGCGCAACAAAACGTGAAAGGTTCTATTTTTTTATTAACTCTATTAGCTTTCGTAAACTCTTCAACGTGCAGCCAGTCCAAACGTTCACCCCACGTGCGATGTTGTTCGTTCCGCACATGCGCACTGGAGACGTGAACTAAACCCCCCGGAAATGCTTTTTCTCCGCTGGTTACAGCTGCAAGAAAATATAACGTTAAATACAAAGATGTAGGAGTAATGCCGACTTTTATTAATTTTTTTTAATGTATCCCAACAATTACAGTACTGTGCAAAGATGTTGAACCAGTACTCATTTTTACGAAACATCTGGATAAACTAACAAAAAACACATGATTACCATGTGTTTTCATTATAACAGCATTGTTATATTGCTTGCGCTCTACTGGATATTGCAGAACTGTATTTTGTGTGACACACTGGAACAAGAAAAATAATAATTCTAAAGTTAAAATTAAAAAGTACAGTTTTTTTTTTATTCATTTTTGTCCCTGCAGTTCATTTCTTTGCCGGGAGAGGGCGCGAGCCGCTAAATCCGTGCTTTTGACGCGAACGATGAACGCGCTGTGCATTCTGGGTAGGGCACTTTTTAACCAGCCATATTGGATCGTTGTCCTGGCTGAAGGAGACAGAGGAGATGAAGGGGATCCGGGGAATCAGTCAGCTATCGGTTCGTGTGTCCTGAAATATATGTTCACTCAGAAACCATTGGTTTTTATTACTTTGTTTTCGGGTGGTTTAAAGCAGCAGCCTTCGAGCTGGGAGACGCTGTGTAGCAGTCGGAAGCTAAATGACCCCTTTCAACCCGCAAACAAATATAAACACTAAACATCTCGTTTATATGTGTTGTTAAACTATCTTAAGCTGAATGCACTTAACTCAGTGTTTAAAAACTCAGACTCATTAAAATGACGCGTAGAAAAACTGACAGCTAGCTGTTAGCATGCCTGTTAGCACAACCCGGAGCTAAAGCCTGTGTGGGTCGCAAGTTTTTAGTTAAGTTGTCTTTAGAGTATCATTATATTTTGTACAGGCAGTCCTGATAAAGTTAATTATTCTTTACGTTTTAATGTTCATTGTCTATAAGTTTGGGTTATGTTTTTAGATTTTGAACTAGCAAAGTAGTTATAACACATTTCCTGTGATTTTAGTTGTTAATCATCCTTTACTACCTTGAATATACACATTCATGAGATTTGTGTAAATGCTAAAAACAATTTATTTCAATATTCTATCTTTACTTAAATGTTAGAAGACGCAAGTCTGACAACATTTGAGTTTTAATCTATGGATGTACAACTGTGAATTGTGATGATCATGTGAAATATGATTATTTTATGTTGTAAAGTCTCAAAGTGTGCAGTTCCTTCACTGGTACACTAATTTATTACAGTTATCCACATGTACAGGTTATTACGTTAGGAATGTCTTTTTACATTTACTGTTGTCAGATTCTAAACAAACACTATTTGGGTACATTTTGCTGTGTTTTTATAATAAAATATGATAATTGTGTTATATATAATACATGTCATAGTAACAATAAATCAATATATAGTTGAGGTTTTTCTCACAACATAGAATGTTGTTATTTTTCTGTGTGTGGTTGCACAATTGAAAATTTACTTCTGCTTTGTGACGAGCAGCAGGAATGATTTTTTTAGCCTTTGTCCACCTCCTGTTTGGAACAATTTATAACAATATTTACTTCTTGTAGTATTCAAAACTACACAGATAATGGAATATTTTTCTTATTTTTGATGTTAATTTAGTGTGGCACGTCTAGTCCGAAGGGTTTGGCTTGCTTTTTGTATTTTCTCTGTGCTTTCAGATACAGTCGAACATGTGAAGTTGTCAAATTTATTACTAACTGCATGATTATCCCTGTAATTTGATTCTTTGTAGATACCAGTTGCATTGTGAGATTCACGTGTCTGTAGTCAAATAATCCAAGTAGGATTGTGTGTACTTTTCCACATTAGAACTCCTTAAAAGCGTTCATTTACACGCTCAGTTCTCCCCCTATTCTTTTTTTAACCAGTTCTTATCTTACCTTTGTTTCCTGCCAGAGTTTTGCAGAATGCACATTAGTTGTAATGTTGTGTCTTCCCATGTTCTCTGATTTCCAGATGAGGCTTTATGCAGCCCAGGCTGCACGTAAGGCGGACGTAACTGGGTTTCAGCCGCAGGATGTTCAGGTCAGTAGTTGTTCACTTATTTCTCTTCTTCACAGAAACGGTTCTATGTGGCTTCCAAACAAGGCCAGTCTCTTTCCCAGCCTCTGGCTGGCCTCAAGCTCTCTCCTGGGTTTGCACACAACTACCAGGGTGTCCCAGTAGGTTGGGAAGTTGACGTGCTGGTCTGGACAAATCTAATTATGAATATATTTACATTGCTTAAGGAAAAATGCATCTTCTGCTAAAAGCTTTTGTAGTTAGTCTCTTCTTCTTGTGCTGATTATTTTTTAAATTGTCTATCCCTAAATATCCAGATGATCTTAGTTGAGCCTTTCAAGTTTAATTTGAGACTTTTTGGCTAACAGGAACTAGCTACTGGTAATTGTTCGTACTTTATAAAAGTGATGACAGTGAAGGGCGTCTTTACACGTGTTCTTTCCAGGTGACCAAACTGCTCAACGGACTTGTGATTGCATCACTGGAGAACTATTCCCCAGCCTCTAAAATTGGAGTCTTTGTCAAGGCCGGTTCTCGTTATGAGACCCACAACAACCTGGGTGTCACCCACCTGCTCAGGCTGGCCTCCAGTCTGGTATGAAAGTCCAATACGGCTGGTTGTACTTTGTTATAATCACTATTGTCCTCATTAGCCTTCTGCGTTACAAAATTACAGCATTACACACAGATACACAAGCATTGAAATCCTACTAAAATAACAAGAATTCTTTTCAAAACTATTGAAGTCATTATTTGCTCAGTTGACAGTGTTTTATTTTGTTCTGAAAATTGGCATATTTAAGCCATTCGTCCTACATATTAAACATTTTTCAGGATGTGCATTTTGTCCTGTTCCAGCTATTTATTAACTTGCATTTTTCAAAAAAATTATAGACCACCAAAGGAGCATCGGCATTCAAAATCTGCCGTTCTATTGAGGCAGTGGGAGGAAGCATGAGGTCAGAACTTGTTTTGACATTCAAAAGGGGAAAAAATGACAAATGTTCAGTTCTCTCACTGTGTCTTTGTGTTTCTGTGCAGCGTGACTTCATCCAGGGAGAATATGATGTACACGGTCGACTGTTTGAGAGACGACATGTGAGTGTGTTTATTGCATCTTCACAGGGGCTTGGAATGGAAAGTGGAGTCATGCCAAGTTTAAAATATCAGTATTTACCAGTAGATAAGAAAATATAACTGTTGAGCAGAAGTTCAAGTCAAATGCACAGATGACGGTGGAGGTTATTATGGCTCAGGTGTGAGATCATTTAAAGTTCTTTTTCACGACGTCCTTACGTCATAGTTTCTTGTTCCTCTATATTTTTTGTGTCTGCAGCGATACAGTGATGGAGTTTTTGATCAACGTGACGACAGCCCCAGAGTTTCGTCCGTGGGAGGTTTCTGACCTCACACAGAGAATGAAGGTGGACAACGCGCAGGCTGCACAAACCCCCCAGACAGGTGAGCCCTTTTTATCGTCTTGGAACGGCCTTTGAGTCCAAGTGATCGCAAAACTATATTTGTGTTCCAGCTTCTGAGTCGCAAAGCTTCGCATGGTTAACGATGCCCCATGTTTAGGGTGATGAGACAAAATTATTCTTCCAACTGCATGTGAGGATTTAGATCCTTGATGCAAAGTCATGAAGACCGGACAGAAAAGTCATAAAGTTTTGAACAAAGTTCGCACCATTCTTTTCTCATAGAGATGATATGTGCTTAAATGGAAACATTTGTAAGCCAAATTTGTGACAGGATGCTACCATGTATGTTTGTTTACCTACAGAAACGGCCGACGTGAAAATATGTCACACCGGCTTATCGATAAAACATCTAGACGATGTTTGTTTTTGAATGCCGAGTCTTTAAGCTGCTTGATCCCTGATATTTATTCTTGACAGTTGCCTCACTCGTTCTCTCCTTGTGTATCAGCAGGTTCACTCTTATACATTTACCTAAACGTATTTTCCAAGTTTCTTTGCTTCTCTGGTTTAGTCATATTTTTCTCCACACACCACAGCCATCTTATTGTAGGTGATTTATGTGGCTCAAGCTTCCACAAGGAGTTTTGTCAGATTTAGCAAAGTGTTTTGTTTACACTGAGTGTGGACCTGCATTTCAGTTGAATGAGCTGAAAAGCTCATGTCACATGAAATTTATATATTTGTTTTAATTAGATCAGCCAGGATTGTGGGAAAAGTAGTTAAAAGAGCAGAGTGTTTTTATGTGAACTATAAACGATGATATAGTGGCTCAAAATGTGATATTCAGACAGGCTGGCAGTAACTGTTTGGTTAAACCTCTTTCTCCAGTTGTGGTTGAGAGTCTGCATGAAGCAGCCTATAAGAACGCCCTGTGTAACTCCCTGTACTGTCCAGAATACATGGTTGGCAACATAAAGTCTGAGCATGTGAGTATTGTTACTCTGTTTTTATTTTTTAAGATCATTAGCCCTGATTACTCATATTAAAGTTTTATTTATTTATTTTCAGCTTCATCAGTTTGTCCAGAACAATTTCACAAGTGCAAGAATGGCTCTTGTTGGACTTGGTAAGAACAGTGATCCTTCTAGCACCATAAGTATCCATAATTACGTTATTAGTCATGGACGCCATAGCAGCTTGCCTGTCGTTGTCCTCAGATTCATCATGATGTTCATCTTTTCTCCAGGTGTTGACCACACGGTGCTGAAGCAGGTGGGGGAGCAGTTCCTCAACATCCGTGGTGGAGCGGGAACCGCAGGAGCCAAGGCTCAGTATTACGGAAGTAAGCTGACCTGCCAGTAAAACCTGAATGAATACTCGCTAACTTTAGCTGCTAGCAGGGTTATCAAAACACACTTGAAGTTTCAACCCTGCTGCTCCACTGGTCTCGTGTCCTCTGCAGAGGAGATCCGTCTGCGAAGCACCAGCAGCCTGGTTCATTCGGCCGTGGTGAGCGAGTCGGCGGCAGCAGACACCAGCGAGGGTCTGGCTTTCAGTTTGCTGCAGCATTTACTGGGAGCTGGGCCACATATCAAGAGGGGATCTGGTGTCTCCAACAAATTGATCCAGGGTGTTGCCAAGGCAACTACAGACCCATTTGATGTGAGTGTGGGCCAGCTACCTTCTAAACCTCTATATAAATATAGAGGAAAATATCCACACATCAACTATGAAAGTTCTTTATGAGCAACTATCAACACTGATGTTTTTTACAACAGGTCAGTGTCTTCAATGCAAGTTACTCTGACTCTGGTCTGTTTGGAGTTTACACAATTTCTCAAGCTGCAGCAGCTGGAGATGTGAGTATCGGCCATGACGGCTGTTCACATGTTCATCAAAGTAATCGGTCTTTCTTAAGAAAAAATAAAATAACGCATCTCTGTGGATGTCCATCCATTTCTGTTGTCTTTAGGTGATTAAAGCAGCCCTCGCTCAGGTGAAGGCTGTTGCTGATGGAGGAGTCACAGCTGCGGACCTCACTCAGGCAAAGTAAGAAACACTGATAGAAACTACACAGAGGAGTTAAACGGTACATCAAGAGCTCAACCACTACTGAAACCATCAGCAACAAGGATAGAGTTTCTGTTTGGTGCAACAGGGAACACACAGAACAGCAAATGTTTACACAGTTGAAGCCGTGCTACTGATGGAATAAGATCGAAATACACAAGTTTAAACGTTGGAAAGATGAAAAGCTGTAAAATCTTCCACAGCACAGTAAATATTTAATTATCTCCTTGGCGACAGTCAATGTCATGTATATATCTGAACATTTAATATGTGGTTAAACCAGCAGCTGCTCAGAGAAAAGAATCCAGTTATAAAAGGTACTTTTTTGTTTTTAACATGATGCGAAAAATACAAATCAGAACTTTACATTTATGCATGATTTAACCAGATGCCGCATAAATGAAACAAAAGCAAGATATGTTGGAATACACGTCACTGTAAGATGATGAGCAACATGTTTCCACAGATTTTAGCTGAAAATATAATTCACATAAACTGTCTCCATAACACAGATTTATGTTTGTTTGACCTTTTTGTGGTATTGTCTCTTTTTCGTAACAACAAACTGCAACTCTTAATATAGAATAACTTTCATTTGACTAAAATTATAAATGATCACCTACAGGATATTTCGAATACAGAACAGATTTGAAAGTTGTGTGTAAAGATCGAAAACAAGCCGGAGAACTTTATACTGGTTCAAATTGGACTCTACGTAAACTACAGCATATCTTGAAAATGTTTCATATTTATACTTTATTTAAAGGATTAGTTCACATTTTCTCATCATTGCTCAGCCCCGGTGCTCAGACAGGAAGAGGTGAGTCAAAGACGTTTAGATAGACATTTCCAGCAACACTAAAAAATAAAAATAAAAAAAATCCCCATGAACTGCAGATGTTGGCAGCAGCCTCAGTTAGCCTGTTGTGTTGGCTCAGGCTGCAATGCATTATGGTCTATTTCCACTTATGTAGTAGACAACTTCTGTACACTACCTTTATTGAACGACATGACCAGTTTCTAAGGCACTATATGGAAAAAAATTACAGTTAACATTTTGAACAGATCTACAAAATGGCCGCTTCATGATGTAACATGGTGAGTAAGAGGACAGCTAAACAGTTTTAGTTTTAGCTGCTTCACGTATCCAGCAGAAAACCATCTGATTAGGCCTGTCGCAATAAACAATAAATCAATGAATCGCATGATAAATGAAAACTCAATCTCGTTTTCATTTATCGACTTTATCGCTTCTTCGTGTCTCTCTTTCTACTGAAGACACTGGATGAGAAAAGGCTCAACTCCGGTGCTCCTCACTGACCCCTCCCTTTCTCTTTTTCTTTAATATCTGTTTTAACCGTCCAAAATTGCGTTTTTGGATCGTTAAAAGCAGCTAAGCTGAAAAGCTAAGCTACGAGCTAAGCTAACAGGCCGACCTTGGGGGAAAAAAAACCTCCGTCTTGTCAAAGCTCTAAAATTCACAATTGATACCCGTGCCTTTGTGTAAAAAGTTGTTTTTCTCTGCAAAAAGAATCTGAGATCTTGTTTACTATTTTTTTTATTTTTATTAAAAGCTTTGTTTGAAAAATGCTATGCTAAAGAGCTCAAATCACATCGAGCTTCCGCCATTTTGAGAACCAAAATAAAGTAAAGAGACAGCCCATGTCACGTCAAGGGGCCTCCCTCCCATTTTTCTTAGGGAGACACGCTGCTCGCTCCCTCACTATCCATCCTTCAGTTCAAACAGTCTTATACTGCCATCCAGTGGTCAAAAAAGGTACTACACACAAAACAAATTAAACATTTCTTCTTAAATTTGACAATTATTACTAATTATTGTCAAATTTCAAACAATATTATCGTTTATCGCAATAATTTCTGAGACAATTAATTGTCCAGCAAAATTTATTATCGTGACAGTCTGATCCCTACAGACACTATTCAGATCAGTCTGCTTTTATTAATATTGGTGATTTATGTACGATCATCTGCCTCATTGATAACGTAAACAGGAACTGCCATTAAATCTTATTTACTTGTTGTGATTTGTGCACAGAGCTGCCACGTAGTGCTTGTTGATGATGGTGTTTATGTCAACACATCACACGCTAAAAAAACCTGCTGTCCTGTGAGCTCGTCTCTGTCTTCACTCTTCAGGACCCAGTTAAAGTGTAATTACCTGATGTCTCTGGAAACCTCCGAGGGTTTGCTGGAGGCCATAGGCACCCAGGCTCTGTCTGACGGATCCTACCACTCTGCCGAAGAAATCTCCAAGAACATCGACAACGTCTCCTTGACCGATGTCGCCAACGTAAGACGATTTGTATCAGATGTGGTCACGTTGGATTGACATAACCATGGGACAAGTTCGGACTGAGCATGCTTCATCTGGCGTGCATTAACTCACGGCTCTTTTCTTCTGGCTTCTTTCAGGCTGCCAAGAAGTTTGTAACTGGACAGAAGGCGATGGTGTCTCAAGGCAACCTCTTCAAAACACCCTTCCTGGATGAGATCTGAATACCTTTGTTCTATATCTTTGAAAAAGCAGAATTTGGTTATTTGTTGGTGTTTTACCAGTATGTAGTCGGGTGATGACCTCCTGCTGCTCTCTATCACTCATCGAACTACACGTTGACTATGTAGCTGGTGTAAAGTAAGGAATAAAGTCTATCTACCTAATAGGAGTTTCACGTCTTTTCTGTCATTTGGTGGGAAATCTGTAGCCAGACCAGGCGGATTTATGAAATGAGAGGTGGAGGAAAAGGTGAAGCAGTAAATAGGTTTTTTGTAGCTCTATCCTGAAAGAGAAGCTGGACTTAAGAGTAAAGTCGACCCTTTTAATGTAAATGAGGCTGTAAAATCAACTCGGGCTGTTGGGAGCACTCAGAACCAGGAACAACCTCTCATGTTGGAGCACGATGGGACAGGATGCCCTGGAAAGGGACTTCTAAATGTATCTAAGATCTCTGAGATGGAGACAACTTTCTCTGAGCCTAAAACTGTCCACCATCATGGATAAAGTCAGCATCATCTTCCTCTCTGCAGGCATCTTGCTATCGCCAACCCAGACTGGATCAGTACTGGAGAACCAGCAGGTAGGACAAGGTCAGGTGACACCAGAGGGGAATAAACAACATTACATGAATCACAGATGAGAGAAAAGCTTCAGTGACTCTGGACCTTGTTCAGCTATACTTTGTAATGAGAAAGCCACTGCATGATACTGCCACCACCGTGCTTTTGGGGCTGGTAGCTTGCATTTATGCTCATAAATTGTCTGACATCAGTATTTTTCACCCAAAAAATTAATAAATCAGATTCAAGATTTGTGTTTAGTCACTGAATATCACTTTCATCCAATCATTTACAGTCTGTACTCACTGCTTTAAACTCCACTGGAGCTTCTTCATGTGTGCAAGGTTTTTTTTGTTGCAATGTCTCTCTGTATATTTTATTTTCATGCCATTCACTTTTCTGTGCTGACACTTTGACATAATTGTCTAGCTTTATTTATTTGTGCGTGTGTTTTATTGCTTCTGGCGTCAAACTCAAAAGGGGGATAGAATTAAAATCTGATTTCAAACCAAGGGTCACTTTCAGTACATTAACTCCAGTCTGACACCTCTCAGAGTTTCAGCTGCCTCATTTCACATTCTCTGTCACTTTTACTGCATCAAAATCAAAGATTACCAGAAAAAAGTATAAATATATATATATATTTATTTCTCGGCTTCAAAGCCGGCTGACTGTCACAAGAAGTTCATGCTAAATAATGTGTGTTCAGTTTTTTTAAGTAAAAAGAGAAGTGATCAAATGTTTTCATTTTAAAATCTCGTTTTTAGGTCCAGACAAGACCTCGAGCCGTTTGACACGTGCCTTAAGGTTTAAGGTCTAGGAGGTGCCACAGACCACCGAAGTACCGCAGCCATAACTGAATATAACTTATTTTAAAACGTCTCCCACTTATCCAGTTCCTATCGGTTAGTCGTGTTGTTGTTGAGCAACTAAATAAGTAGCATCAAATCTTTTCTCAGGTTTCCAACATTCACTGTGTTTTTGTTTCTGTCTCGTTAAAATAAAAGAGTAATCACCTTAGATTAGGAAGAGTTTTTTGGACTGAAGTAAATTATTCTAGTGATGTATTTTGGGACAATAATGATTTGGACTCTGAGATTTAAAGCTCTTTGTTGTGACTTCGTTCTGGATTTTGAAGAGAAGTTTTGAAGAATGAATCATTTTGATGCAATCATTCTTCAAACTAATGAATGTGTTTGGTTAGGTCTGCTATTTTTTATTGTATTATTATTTTTAAACTCATGGTGGAAACAAACAGATGAGCTAGGATCTGAACTCGTGACTCAACAGATCAGACTTGGGATGATTCTGTGCATTTATAGCGACATCAAGCTGTGTTCGCTCCTCGCAGGTTATCATGCTCTCAGTGAAGTCGGAGGAGAGGACATAAATATCCTGGAGGCATCAGAGTGGTTTATACACTTTAAAAACTGTTATAACAACAAGAATATCTAATTTCCTTCTCATTTCTCAGCTGCCCTCGTCCAATTAAATTTTGGTGGCTCGAGCTCTAAATACTTTAGATTTTATCATTTGAAAGTTCCAATAATTTCCTTTCCTATGATATGTGAGTATTTGTTCAGGAGAAACAGATGAGGGGTCATCCACTCCTCAGCCTCTCAGGCCTCTTCAGCAACGGTTCTGGAGCCTCTGGAAGAGGAACAATCCACCTCCTCAACCACAAATGTGTCTCCACACATGTTGTGATCCTGACGATGAAGAACTTTTTGCCTCTACCTCCTCCCAGCAGAAATCTTCAGGTGTGTGTGTTTTAGTCATCATCTGTCATCTTGTCTGTGTTCTTTGTGTTTCTGCTCTTATTTCCTTTTTCTGTCCCTAGTGTTTGTCTCCCTCGTGTGGTCAATTGTAGCTATTGCATCCTCATTAAATCCCTGTCTTCACCTGTTGTCCCTCCCAGCTGTTTGTCATTTGTCTCGTCAGTGTTTGTGTATTTAAGTCTGCATCTCCTCTTCTTTGGCATCTGGACATTTTCTCACGAAGGCTCCTTGCTCATGTTTCATGTTCTGCACAACGTCCTGGTTTTTGTCTCCCTTCGTGCCCTCGCTTCATTCATTCATTCATTCATTCATTCATTCATTCATGAAGTTGTTGCAGCCACGTCAGCCCTTTTCTTTTTCATTAAAGGACTTTTACTTTAAACCTGAGTTGTCCTGGTCCTACCTGCATTTTGGGTTCCACCACCACCAGACTGTTACACTCATGTCAATTAATTTAAGTTATGGTCCAAACTACATCACAAGATCATTAGAATAGCCTAATATTACTTTCCCATGAAGTAGTTTAGTTTTTGAAGAATTTCAATCTTCTAAACAGTAATATTTTCTGCTGAAAACCAAATGTGTCATCCTAAACAGCTAAGTGTAAACACTAGTCATCAACCCAACGTTTTTCAGTCAGGTCATCTGGACAGTTTCTTTCTTTTGTGCTGAAACGTTTCGCCTTTGATCCAGAAGGCTTCGTCAGTCAAGGAAACACGCAACAAAACTGATTCTTCCCCCAACAGCTTACTCCAAAGTGGAACAAACCAGTGCTGCTTGTGATACGATGGTCTCTTTGGTACGCCCCTCCTCCATTGCCGGCCCTCTTCCTTGTTGACAGTCGTGTCAAACTGGTTGAAAACAACAAAGTCCATGCTCAATAATCCAGGTATACAATCCAACATTTTTCAGTCAGATCATCTGGACTATGTTTTCAACCAGTTTGACAAGACTGTCAACAAGGAAGAGGGCTGGCAATGGAGGAGGGGGCGTACCAAAGAGACCATCTTATCACAAGCAGAACTGGTTTGTTCCACTTTGGAGTAAGCTGTTGGGGGAAGAATCAGTTTTGTTGTGTGTTTCCTTGACTAATGAAGACTTCTGGATGGAAGGTGAAACTTTTCAGTACAAAAAAAAAGAAACTGTCCAGATGACCTGACTGAAAATTGTTGCATATGAAATAATGCGTTTTTTATTTTATTTTTATTTTTTAGGGGAGAGCGGGGCCAAACGTTTGTACCACCCTTAACAAGATGCCGCCATGGGCAGCTGCCTATATCACCCCATCAGACACTGCCTCAGCTGGTACTTTTGGCACTTTTTGACCTCCGTCATGAGTAACTGTGCCAACATAGCAGCAAACTACGCTTTCCAAAGTCCGATAGACGTCTCAAATCAAGCCCCTGTCTCAGATGAGCTGAAGAGGAGGTGTCAGGGTTGTAGACGTCTTCAAATCAGCTCAGGCTTTTTTAGTCTCAAAATATTTAGTTGTAAATGTTATAGCTGTTTAGGGTTTTAGCTGTGACAAGGATGAAAACTGAGAGAAAATGATGTTTGGATCATTTCTTCTGTCAGTCCACACAGGAGATGTGAGATCAACATGAGAATGAAACACATTTTCTCCAAGCCTCCCATCAGATGAGTTCATTAGATGTTTTCTACACTTTATGAGATGTGTAGAAAAAACATCCAGATGTTAATGTCTCTCATGGGCCTGTCCTGCATCAGTGAGATCAGAGGACAAGCTGCCCAACAACACGACGGTGTACGTGCTCTGCAGGCTCAGGATGGACGGCCATCTGTCTCGACTGGCTGGGGTTGAGA